AAAAACAGTTATTCTGTTTTCCAGAATTCTACTACACATTGGGGATCCCTAATCCCCAAATCCCAAATCCAAAATGATCTAAAACCTGTAAATTTTTGACTGCAGATAATGACATACGTAGAAAATTCCACACCATGTAACTTTTGTATTCTGCACAACATTTTAAAAATAATTATTAAAAAATAAAAATATTATTTAAAATATAATAAAATTATCTTCAGGCTATGTATATAAGGTATATATAAAACATATATAAATTTTCAAAATCCCAAACATTTCTGGTCCCAAGCATTTCAGATAACAGATCCTCAACCTGTATTAAGCAAGGAGAATTCTGTAAACTTTGCAGGTTCTTTGCCATGGATGCTAGCAAATTCAGGGTTAAATTTTAAACCACAGAAATAGTAATGTTTTTAGCTACAAAAGGATTGTTTTTGCTTCCTTTCTCTATTATGTTAGCATATAATTATTGAGTGCCTACTATGTGTTGAACTCCTCTCTTATAGGCTGAGAACATAGCTGTAAATGGATTCTTTGCCCTACGAAGCTAACATTCCTTTTTTTTTTTTTTTGGTGGTGGTGCTAGGGATAGAAACCAGAGCCTCACACATGATAAGCATGTTCTCTGCCTCTGAGCCTTACCCCTACCCTTAGAGCTAACATTCTAGTAGGATAAAAGACTTAAGTAGTAAGTTGAGAAAAAATTTTTACCATCTACTTATTGTGGTCTTGCCTTCTCTTGAGTGGTTCTGAGCATCTGTACTATGCTTTAGTTACATACAGGCTCAAAATGTCTTTGAAAGATGTTAAAGTGCAAATAACACAAGCTAATAAAATAACATGCACAATTACACATTAACCTCAGGGTTTGCACACCATGGCTGTTTTGGAAGGCACACCCTTGGGGGTGGGGAGAGTAAGTCATGAGCAGAAGGCACGCCCAGGTTAATGGTGCTTTAGTTTCCCTCAAGTGTGCCAGGAGCAGCTGCTGTGTCACCTTATGGTGATCCCAGGTGGATCTTGACATTTATGTCAAACTCTTAATCTTCAGCAAATATTTGGTGGAGCAAAAGTTTGGGCGGGCTGGCAAATACCAGGAGGCGTTATAGATTCCCATTCACCTCCCACTGTCGATAGGCTGATTCTAAGCAGATATTGTTTTCAAATGTGAACTTCCTTGGTCACATATTTTGTTAACTCCCTGTGCATGTTCCATTCTTTCTTAAGGAAATTTTTGGGCACTTCATTCACAGATTATTTCTCATTGAAATTGTAGACTTCACGATTTCTCCCGAAGTTCCTATCATCTGAATTCTACAGGACTCATGTTATACTATAAAATGAGGAACATGTAAATACATTTTTAGTGTTTTATTTTAGTGTGTGTGTGTGTGTGTGTGTGTGTGTGTGTGTGTGTGTGGTGCTGATGATGGAACCAGAGCTTTGTGCATGCTAGGCAAGTTCTCTGCCACTGAGCTATATTCCCAGCTCTCATTGAAGATTTCATATTTGGGATGTTGATCACACATTCTGATATAAGTAATTTTATCATCCTAAATCATCATGGCATTACTGTCCCCATATTTTGGAAAACACTTATGTTTGAATTCATGAATATGTTACCTACATATAAATATAAATGTATATGATTCATATACATTTATGGCTATACAAATGACAGAAAAGAGACACTTAGAAATTATGAATAACCTTTGCTTTTAAAGTTGCTGACTTTGGGAGATCAGTTATCTGAAAATCAAAGTTATGATATTTGGGAAGGTTCTCTATGTTGTTAGCCAAAAAAATACTTGTGGGATGTCTACTTGCAAGATCCTCTTGAGGCAAGGCACTGTTGATTGTTGAAATGAGAAAGAGTTCCTTGACTTGGAGGAACTTGGAAAGACAAGGGATTATGAACAAGAAACAACAAACCTCGCAGAAGAATGAATTCTGTTACAAGCAACAAAATCTAGGGTTCTACAGGGAATGATAGCATATATCTGTAACCCCAGCAACTGAGGAGGCTGAGGTAGGAGGATCACAATTTCACAGGCAGCCTTAGTAACTAAGTGGGGTCCTAAATAACTTAGTGAAACCCTATCTTGAAATAAAAATAAAAAGGGATGGGGATTTAGCCATGTAGCTCAGTGGTGCAGTACCAAATCCCCAGTACCAAAAACAAAATAAAACACACTAGGCTTCCTGAGGACATATTACTCTAAGGCTTCTGAGCTCTGTGCTTTCACAATGTGAATCATATGATGGAGTAGATATTATTTCTTGATTATTTCTAATTCTCAAACTGCAGCAAAAAAAATAGTTTGAATATTCGGCTAAAATTAAACCATCAGGAGTGACAGACTCATAAATGAAACTTGTGTTTAACTGCTAAAGTTCTCTTTTCCCATGGGGGATATTATGGGAAATTAAGAATTTAGATAAGGCCATAAATTTTGCAGTCTGTTTGTGTGGAATATTTTTAGAGATGTTGAAAGAGCTAGTACAGTTTTGAAAGAAAGATGTTTGATGTTAGAAAAGAGCTGACAGACATTTAGGCTCTGTCAATATCATACACCCTTTTGACTGGTGTGATGGAGAGTCGAGGCAGGGTGTAATCATTTCAGTAATCATCTCAAGATGCACATACAAGTGGGAATAAACACATAGAGATGGTAGGAAGAACATGACCCTGAGCAATGAGCCCTAACTACCTCTGTGGTAGGGTTTAGACAAGGGTGGAGTTGAGAGGTGAGATATTCAGGAGAATCTTTTGTTGCATATTTCATAATCTTTTTTTTTTAAAAAGCATTAACATTAGGAATAACTTTAAGTAGAGCGATTTCATTTACTCATTTTCCTATTTAAACGATGACAAAAAAGGAATGAAAGTTATTGATTCAAAGATTTGATACTATAAATATATTTAAATCAAAGTAACTAGGGAAACCAAAATGGGAAAAGCTTTAAAGCTTATTTTTCTTGTTTTGGAAACCAGGTAGCTCCTAGACTACATCTGTTTCTTGCTGCTCCTTCTGTCCCTTGCTCCCTGTCTCCTTCTTTGTCATGACATTCTTTTCCCTGGAAAGGGCCCTTTGGGCAAAAGTCAAGAAGAAAAATTTATAAAATCTTGTGTTTGATGCAAAAAAAATGTACAATATTACAATCTATTTCTTAATAAGTACACAGGATTCTTTTCCTTTCCAATGGGCAAATTATCATTCTAGAAAGATATGTCACATTTATCCAACCGTTTTGAATGCCCCTCTAAACAGAATATTTTATCCCAATTTTGGGGATGTGAACTAACAGCTCATTTAATGCTGTAACAGTCATAAAAGGTATTTTACAAGGAATATCTGGGGTTATTCCTGGTATCTTCTTCAGTTTATCATCTTTAACCATCAAGTTGAATCTTTTGCCATATCTAGACTTTACATCCAATTCATCCATTTCTCACTTAAATGCAAACTCAACCCAATTGATTTCTTTATTCTCCGATGTGATGATTTATCAGTTGTAAGTTATAGTCAGAGCTGCTTTGCTCAATATTTGCTCTCTGTGCTGGGATTTAATCAGGACACAGGCATTTACTCTAGATGGTCTGAATTTCCAACTGGAACTCTGGAGTCACCGTAACCTTTGATAACCTCCTCAGTCATACCATTAAAGAAGCAGAGACACTTATCTTGGCCTGTAGATTTCAGTTCGTGTCTCTTAAAGTGTCAGGTTGATTTGTGAATCTGAATAATGTTCCTCTATACAGTCTTTTTTTTTTTTTTTTAAAAAAAAGGTAAAGAAATCATTGTCCAGTGTAATCTTGATCCTCATACTGTTGTGAAGTTTGTGAGAAGGTCAGATTTAAATTCAATTTCAGCCATAAAAGAGAGTGGTCTGGACAGGGAACTGACACAGAGCCCTGAGATACAGACCCTAATTTTCCCGAGATACTAGAATGAGAAAGAACTAATTTGAATTCTAAGAATGTGTAATCATGTATTTACAGAGCAGATATTGACTAGGTAATTCTGTAGGCCTTATCTACTATTAGCAATAGTATGTCAAAAAGACTTATTTTTTAAAAATCTCAATAATCAAGGTGAGTATTCAGGTTCTTTTTTCCTTGGGAAAAAATTGGAAGTTATTTCTATCATGTAAAAAGGATTTAATTTCCATATCCACAGGATTGACTAGATTTTGAGTAGTTTTTCTGTTAGAGAAATAGGCTTTATATTTGTCCACAGCATTCATACTTGAAGGCAATTAGTATTTTTAGAAAATGCTAAAAGGTAATATGAGACTGAAATCATTCTGAATCAACTTCATATATTGGGATCAAGACAGTTTCGTGTGTAGTTTAAGACAACAGGATATGAAGTTATGTTGTGATATTTAAATTTAACCGGACTCCACACACTGCCCTGTAATTTCTCTTATTAAGGTTCATCTTCTAAAAATTAGGTATGCAAATTTTATGCATAAATATAATTTAACATAATTGCTGTTACTAAGTCTACTGATTTAATTATGTCTAAGGAGTTATTTACAAAATCCTTTGAAAGGGGAACTAACAATTTGGATTTTTACTAAAAATCTCAAGTCTATCATTAAAACCCATCAGTTTTTTAACTCAACTGTGGATGAGCATCTAGATAACTAAATTTTTATTTTCTGTGAAGCATAACACATTCACAATCTTATTTGGCTCTATAACCACATTTCATCCTTTTGGAATCGATAGCACCAATTTAGCATGCTTAAGCGTATGATACAGAAGGTAGTTTCTCTGACGGCATGGGCAGAGATAAAGCTGGCAGGAAAATCTTATGTATTATCTGTTTGTGGAAAGACTACAAAATTTGCATTAGTTTTCCTCTCCAGGAAAGAGAAAGATCAGGCATCTTTTAAATGATATAACCTCAAGCAAACTACTGTTATTTTCAAACTTTTTCTTAAAAAGTCCTCAAAATATTGCCCTCCCAGTTAGTAATATTAAGATATACCTTACAGATCTTTTCAATGCTTGGTCAGTTTGAAGTCTCCAGAAAGGTGGGTTATTTCAGATGAGCATTTCTTCTTTCCTGGGAGAGTGGAGGTTGGCTTTGCCTGTCCATTAGAGACTGCTTGGTCCGTGGTCACTTTGAGACAACTGTGGCCTTACACTACTCTCATCTGTCCTCTTACTCCACTCGGCTATATTTGGTAACTGAACTCATGTTTCAGCAGAGTGCCACAATCAGGAATTCTAGCAGTGGGCTGGGAAACAGCCCCAGGTCTGAGGGTTCTTAGAAATTAAAGCCACTTAGTATAAAAGGAACTATTTTTATGCATCTAGTAAGCATAGAATGTTTCTTTATACTCTAAAAGATTCCGTTCAACATATTCTTAATCAATTACTAGTATGTGATTCCAAGTAGAAAAAAAAAAACCAACACTCTTAAGGAAGACTTCTTATTATAATCTGCTCTGTGCATTTAGCTTTTAGTCATGTCGTAAATTATCCTAAAATAGTAAATGTAATAACTATTTAAAAATTTAACCACCTGTCAGATTGAATGGAGAGTCCGACTGCTTTCTTACTTCATATTTTTAATTAAAAATTGTCCCATGATTGGTGTGTACTAAAGAGTCCAAAGTAGGGTGAAATGGGAATGAACATACAGGGACTGAATCTTACCTATGTTGCAATGAGCCCACTTATATTTATAAAAAATGTTTCTCAATCATTCTATCACTTATCCTGTAGCATCTCATTGTAACATGGTCTAATATTTAGGCCTTGTAAATGTAAGTAGAAGTAATAAGAACAGAAAGCTTTTCTGATCCAAGGTCAGGTATCAGAACCCAAACTAAGGGGACTAAAGTAGTCACACAAAAGTTCATAGTTAAGTTCCTGAGTTTCCCTTGGTCTTAATAATATAATCACATTTGATCCAGTTTCATATCTGAAGAAATTCTTTCCTGATAGTGGAAAATTTATGAAGGTCTGCTCCTGTACTTTTCTTTTTTTCCTGTACTTTTCTTTATAGACAAAACTTATCCTTTAAAAATGGTTCTTCTTGAAACAGGATACTCTGCTGGGCCGTTTCATCAGTCACATTAATATGTCATTTAGAAATTTATTATGATAGGGGAAAGAAAACCCTCTGGTTGATTTGCGTTATCCATTTGTGCTGTTATAATGAAATACCCTGACTTCTCACAATTCTGGAAGCTGGGAAGTCCAAGATCAAGATTTATTGTCTGGTGAGGGTCCCACCTCCACTTCCAAGATGGCTCCCTAGATGCTGTGTCTTCTGGAGATGAGGAGCAGTGTGTCCTCACATGGTGGAAAGTAGAAGGGTAAGGGCAATTGAACTCTTTCCATCAAGCCCTTTAATAAGGGCAGCTAGCTCGCAAAATTCATCAATCACCTCCCAAAGGCCATTCCATGTTGAATTGGAGAATAAATTTCAACATAATGTTTGGAGGGGACAAAGCATTCAAACCATAGCATTAATTAAAGAAGTGTTTTTTGCTTTTTACCCCATAAGATAGTAATAAAAGCCACTGAAATGATAGAAATTAGAAGGGAAGAAAGTATAAGATGCCAGAAATGAAAAAAAAATTGTTGGAAAATGATAAAAATGAGTTAAACTGAATCACAAACTTAAAAGCCTGCAGAAGGGGATGCTGATAAGAAGGGATTCACTCCAAAGAATCTCATAGACGTTTAGGAATTGGAGGCACCAGACTCCTCCTTGGAAATGAAGTTTAATTGGCAACCCTGAGTATAGCTAGAAGTGACTGAGGCAGGAACTGAGAAAGAATCTCTAGAGAGAAATAGGAGCCTACTTTGCCATTTCTCCCTCACGCAGGCAAGAGACTACTCCTTGCCATGTCTGGAGAAGATGGGAAACTTAAAACACCAGGCTACCTCCCCGAGATGCAAAGCACAGAAGATGGAGGCACTTGAAGAAATTTGGGGGCTGGAGTTAGGACTGGTGATTGAAACAGAGGCTTCAACTGTTATCTGGTGTTTTATTTCTTCAAAGAAAAAAGCCATATGGGAATGAGGAAAAATGGTAACATTTGATCCACATGGTATTATTGTGGGTGCTCATTATATATAAATTATATATGCAATTACATTAATATTTTTACTTTTTGGATTTGAGGAACACTATAATAAAAAAATTAAACAAAAACCTCCATGTATTGTAAGAGATACTGAATGTGGAAGAGATATGGAATCAAAATGTTGTAACCTCTTTTTTTTTTATTGGTTGCTCATGACAATACAATGATCTTGACATATCATACTGTTGTAACCTCTTTAAAATCTGGTTATGGAAAGAATTATTGAGATTAAACAAATGGTTAAAATACAATGACTTTATTATTAAATTAATTATTATCAATTTAAAAATGAATGTCATCCATACTATATTCCTCAATCTTCATCTCAAAGTATTAAAAGATTTTTTTAGATGTTGTTTAATAATAAATTGTGTTGGGCAGACACTACTAGCTTTTTTCTCTCCTTCCAGCTCAGAATGTTCCAAGGAATAACTTTTGCTAATCTCAAGTTAATTTGTAACCCCACCCACTGTGTGTGCCAAAGGCATGCACACTGTGTTAATGTCCTACTAAGATATTACCATGGTAAAATTTTTTGCAGTTTCTAGAAATAGAAGAGACAGGCATGCAATTCATAAATGTTCATCAAAGACAATAGAAAATAATCACAAGTTATTGATCAATTAAGGATTCTTTTTTGTTGCAGTGGGCATTCATAATCAGATGAAAATATGTTTCCATGCCTCTTTGCAGGAAGTATAGCCAAGTTTTCTTATGTTTAGGCTCCCTTGTTGCAGGAGGAAATTCAAACTTTTTGAAATGGAAATAAAAACGTTAAGTATTACCGATGTAAAAGTTTTCCAAATGACATTTACTTGCATGTATGATGAAGACAATCCTGCTAGATTATCAGTAGGGAACTGGCCTGGTGCTCGTAGGGGACGATGTTGGTCACAGCCTGAGAGAGAGCTGGAGTCTCAGTGCCTGGAAGAACAGAGGGTTGTGGGTTCTGTGATTGGCAAGAACTCTCACATAGAAGGAACAAATGCCAGGGCATAGTTAGTCTGGCATAGGCACCTGGGCATCATGGCCTCGGAAGCTGCAGTGAAACAGGAGGCTATCTCTATGTTCTTGCAGACTCTGGGAGCTGGAACAGAGTCCAATGCTGATCAAGTGGCCTATTGACCAGAGGAGGCCTCTCCCACATTTCCCTAATTGCTTGTTCCCTAACTTCTGATATAATACCAGGGAATTGATAAAGCTAAAGCTGTAATAAGTAAAAAGAGGGGCTGCAGTTGTAGCTCAGTGGTACAGCACTTGCCTAGCATGTGTGAAGTACTGGGTTTGATACTCAGCACCACATAAAAATAAATAAATAAAATAAAGATATAAAAATGCAATAACAGAGTTTTAAAAAATGTTAAAAAGAAGTAAAAAGATAAAAAGAAGAAAATATATATTTTACATAAATGGCTTGTGGTCCCAAAGTTAGATTTCATTTTAATAAAAGACAAATAATTTTCTTGTACCTTGTGAAGAAGGCAGCAAAACATTTTTGTTTTACAAAAATATCAGAATCTGGACAATTGAAGTTCTTTTCCTTAGAAAATTTATACCAGTAGTTTGACCCAAACTCTTAAGATAGTATAACAAGGTTCAATTGATATTAAGGCTGGGATTAGTGCATGGACAGTAATTGAGCCTCTCCTGTCTTTGCATATATACATCAGAGTCAATTTCTATGTGCACTGAGGTGGGAAAATGGGCTAAAAGATCCCTTAATTGGGTTCCAATGTGATTATTATTATTTTTTAGAAAAATTCCTCCCTTTTAAAGTGCTTGAATTTGTGTCAACCATCTTCCATCCCATTTTTTTTCAATTAGGACTTTGGATCTAGTTGGGTTCTCGAGTCTCTTCTTTATTCCAAGTCTTGCCACTATCTTGGATGACTTTAGCACCTATTTGTCAGTTTAGTTCATACCCTTGAATATTAGTTCTTGACCTGCTTATTCTAGTGATTTTCATCTCCATTCTTCTTTTTTTTTTTAAAAAAAATTTAATTGTATACAACACAATACTTTATTTATTTATTTATGTGGTGCTGAGGATCTAACCCAGTACCTCACACATGTGAAGCAAGCATTCTACCTCTGAGCCACAACTCCAGCCCCATTCTTCTTCTTCTTCTTCTTTTTTTTTTAAAAAAAATATATATACACACACACACACACACACATACACTATATTTAGTTGTAGTTGGACACAATACCTTTATTTTGTTTATTTATTTATTTATTTAATTTTTTTTAAAAGACAGAGTGTGTGTGAGAGAGAGAGAGAGAATTTTAATATTTATTTTTTAGTTTTCAGCGGAAACAACATCTTTGTATGTGGTGCTGAGGATTGAACCCAGTGCCTCACATGTGCAAGGCAAGTGCTCTACCACTGAGCCCCAGCCCCAGCCCCATCTCCATTCTTCTTACAGAAGATGCAAATAGATTTGCTCTTCCTCCAAATTGGGTATTAGTTACTGTTATAGTTTGGATGTGAGGTGTACCCCAAAGGCTCACTTGTGAAACAATGCAAGAAGGGTCAGAGGAGAAATGATTGGGTTCTGAGAGTCTTAACTTAATCAGTGAATGAATCCCCCTGATGGGATGAACTGAAAGGTCACTGAAGTGGTGGGGTGTGGCTGAAGGAGGTGGGAATTGCGGGCGTGGCTTTGGGGTGTATATTTGTATCTGGCAAGTAGAGGCCTCTCTTTCTGCTTCCCTCTGCTAAGCTCTTCTGCCATGATGTCCTGCCTGGCCTTGAGCTCCAAGGAATGGAGCTGGCCTTCTAGGAACTAAGACCTTTGAAACTGTGAGCCCTCAAATAAACTTTTCCTCCTCTAAAGTTGTTCTGGTTGGGTCCTTTTAGTCATAGCAGTGAAAAAGGTAGGACTAAAATAATTACCTACTGCTTCATAACAAGTATTAACAAAAGTTAGCGCCTGAAAATGATACATTTTTTTATCATGTGTGTCTCCAGTACCTAAGTGACTCAGGATCAAAGTATCTTGAGATTGCAGTCAAGAG